TATCTATCTATCTATCTATCTATCTATCTATCTATCTATCTATCTATCTATAAAATCATCCGTGTCCTGGTTTTGTTTCTCTAGAGAACCCTGTCTAACACACCCGCCTATCTCATCTAGATAGACATGCAGAGACAATAGTAAGCACAAAAACAAGGCAGAGCAAAACAAAACAACGAATGAAAACCAAAAATTCAACTAAACAAAAAACAAAAAAACAGCCTGTAAATAGGTCTAGGTCTGTTGGTTGACCTTTAGGCATGTTTTCCGGCTGAGTCTGGTGGGGTGCCATGCCCTGGCCCCAAAGTCTATTTTTGGTATTCCCTGGAGACTTCGTTGCTCTGCTCCCCCTGCTGCTCTGTTGCAAGCCCTTAACCTTTTGACCCAGTGTCGCAGAGTCAGATTGGGCACAAACCCACCCTGTGCCTCCAGTGTTGTCCCTAGTAGCAATATGGGTCAGTGAGGGGTGTCTTGTCTCATGGTGGGGTCGGCCCTATGGTCCTCTCTGTGAAGAGCCCATATTTCTTCTGCGACATACTTTTTGATCCCTATTACAATGTAAGAGAGGTGGTTTCGATGAAGACAGTCACGGACTAGGGAAATGTACCTGAGGAATCTAGTCATACCCAGAGTGGTATAGTCTCGTCCATTATTCTTGTGCAGAAATTAGATTTGGATTTGTCTCACTTAAAAGAAACTGATTAAATAATAGAAGGAGTTAGAATTAGGAGGGCCATATAATTATGGCCCAGTGGGGTAGTTTTGAGAGTGAAAGGGATCCTCACATAAATTAAACCGGGAAAATCGGGCACACACCATATCTGCCCTGCGGGAAATGGGGCATGTTGTCCTGTCATTATAGATAGAGGGGCTCTTGCAAGAAAATAAGTGTAGGAATACTGACATCCCCCTGGAAACACAATCTTGGATTCAAATCCCATTTCTCAAGTCAAATGGGGTTGGGGTAGAAGGGGTAATGAAGGAGAGAAAGCCAGAATTGCACCAGGAGAGGTGATGTACCTGGACTGAGCTCCGAAGGTCTGCTGGGAAGGAGGAAATGAGAAAGGTAGAAAGCATGGCCCTTAGACCGAGGTGATTGAGAAGAAATTGGGACCCGTTAGAAACAGGCCAGAGGCTGTTTGACCTCCTGCCAGACTCTTCAATGACTAGTCTAGTCGGTGCTCCCAGAGCCTTCCCTCTGCCTTCAGGATGGTTAACTGCAAAACGAACTGGGGCCCTGAATCATACCTCACTGTGATTCTTCTAGAGCACAGTTCCAAAGGTGGGCGATATCGCCCCTTGGGGGACACTGGAACCCTGGGGGTGTGGGTTTGGGCTGGCTGCAAAAGCAAATGCCTACATTTTATCTTGGATTATGGGTTATAGTACCAAAGTGGTTACCTGCCAGGGGGGCACTGGGTTTTTTGTTTGTTTGTTGTCTGAAGAAGGGTCATAGGCCCAATCCATTTGGGAGTCAATGAATGTGCCAGAGACTCGTGGGCTGCTGGGAGGAGAAGTCGGTTGGGACCAGGATGACATAGCCCATGCGCTGCCAGGCTGGTGTCAGAGACTGAATTATGACCCCTCCAACTTATGTCAACCTGACTAGCACATGATTCCCAGTCGTGTGTGGCTGTCCTCCAGTTTGCACTCTGGTAGGATTCGCCGACACTCTGTGATGTGTTTTCAATCCTAACCTCTATATGCTGAGAAATAAGAGCCCTGGGGCATAGTGGGTCACATGTTGGGTTCCTATCCAGATGGGTCAGCAGTGGGAGCCCACCTGATGCTTCTCAGGAGAAAGATGGAGGGTTTCTGCTCCCTCCCATAAAGATTGACAACGTTGTAAACCCAAAGGCCAGTTCTACTCTGTCCTACAACCTCACTACTAGTCTAGATTGACTCCCTGCAGTGGGTTTAGTATGGGGTAGATGGTGGTGCTGTGGGGTTAACATTGAACGGCTAATCACAAGGTTGGCAGCTCAAATCCACCAGCCACTCCGCAGGAGAAATATGAATCTATCTCCGCCCATAAAGATGTAAAGTTGCAGAAACTATATAGGGTTGCTGTGATTCAGGATGACTTCAAGGCAATGAGTGTGGGTTTTTTTGGATATGCTAATGAGGCAGGGTCAGTGTGGGACATATATACCTTTACTGAAGCCACACCTTTGACCTTGCAAGAGTTAAAAGGAGAGAAAAACCAGCAGAGGAGAGGCACCTTACTTCCACCTAGAAAGAAGAGCTCCAGGAGAGTGTATCCTTTGCATTTGGGGTCCCTCTGCTGAGAA